CCTATGTTTATAGCAGCACTGTTTACAATAGCTAAGCTTTGGAAGCAACCCAAATGCCCAAAAATAGATGACTGGATCAAGAAGATGTGGTACATATATACCATGGAATATTACTCAGCATTCAAAAAAGATAAACACATGCAATTTGCAGCAACATGGATGGCACTGGAAGGGATCATGCTCAGCGAAATAAGCCAAAAAGAAAAAGAAAAATACCGGATGGTCTCACTCATAGCAGGAATCTAGAGAACTTGAATAAGGGACCAGGAAAATGAATATAAGAAAGTGAAAATCAAAATCAACAAAAAAACTATGAACCAGAGACACTTTTTGGGGGGTGGGGGGCGGGAGGGGAAGGATTGGGGTCAGAATGGGGCGTTTGCAATTGTATGGGGAATATAAAAATAAAATTTAATATTTAAAAAAAAAAAATAAATAAAAAATAAAAAATATATATTTTTATAACCAATAAATGATATAAACAAAATTTGCATTGAATGATACCACATTTCCATTTTCTTATATTAAACAGTAGATAAACTATTACTTATAATGAAACTGATTCCTTTCTTTGGGCTCAGGAATGCATGATCTGTGCTATCCTATACACAACAAATGATTTCCACACAATCAGCTCTTAAATTTATCCCTCTCGTGGTGAAATATATAGATTCGAGAAAATGTTCTGTAATAAAGGGGAATACCTAAAGAGAAAAACTGGTCAGTAGAATCACAGGGAAGAGATACTTAGGGTTTATAAATCTATGCTGATAAATCATCTCTATTTAATGATTTATTAAGGGGAAGGCATGTGTCCATTTTATGTTGAAAAACATACTTTAGTCTCATAAGAAATGTATACTACAGAAGTGAAGCAGCCACAGTGGGAAGGGGAGCAGGAGGAGGAACAAAGAGGGAAAAAAACACAAATGACTATGGTAGAGGATTACAGGTGGGTACCCCATGGTGGTGATACTTGATGGAGAGAATCCTAATGTCCCCACAATTAAAAAGTAAATTATTAAAAAAATAAAATGCAGAAAAAAAGAAATGTGTAATAAAACATACAATTTATTCAATATTTAAACTGAATGGGAGGATTGCTGGTTTTCTGGTAAGATGGAAATAAATGGGAAAGGAAGTGTAAATCATGTGGTTTCTTCTATTTCTACTAATCCAAATATGCATTCATAGCCTACTACGCCTCCTTTCCACTCAACAATGTATTATGAATCACTACTTACTCATTGTTTTCAACACTGAGTACATGGAATAAAAGAATCACCAAACCAGAAGAAAATATGAGCAACAATGTTTTTCTCGACAGACATCTGCAGGAAGGTGCATAGGTAATTTTTTTGGATAGTTTTCTTTTTGAAGATTTCCTTACGTCCAAGAAATGTACATTCTTCTTTGGCAATTCATTCTAGTCTTTGATCCCTGGATGTCCCATCTAAAATCTCTTCTTCCTTCCTCTAAAATGCTATTGCATGTTACATTTTGTGACTAGAAACTGTTATGATTTTAATATTTTTTTTAATTTTTTTAATTGAAGATCTCCCCCAATAGATGCCAGCTCTGTTCTGTCTTGACCACTAATCATGGTTGACCCTTTTTTTTTAATTTTTTTAATAAATCTTTTTTTAAAATTATTTATGATTTATTTATTTGTTTGTTTGTTTTGTTTATACATGCACTGGGTACAGTCAGAAGCGTAGGAGGGTGAGAGAATTCACCAGAGCCAGAGCGGGGAGCAGAGCAGGCAGAAGGACCGAAGTACACTGCTGAGGGGAGCAGCGGGCGGCGGGAGAGGTCTGCGCGCCATGTGGGACCCTCCTCCGGTGGCCGGGGAGCAGCCGGGGATCGAACGGGCGCCTTAGTGGCCGCGGGCAGCTTTGCAACCCAGCGCTCAACTGCTGCGCCACCGGGGAGGCCCATGGTTGACCCTTGATAGTGACTTAATTGATAGAAGGAAGTTAAGTAGTTAGAGTATCAGAAGAGAAGGAAATCAAAATTTTCTTCCTCGTGTCTAGCTGAAATACATTTACATTCAATTAAGCCCGTCTTCTTTGACATGTAAGTGTATAAGGGTAACCATGATACCACAAACTCCAACTAAAATATCTCCATGTACTTTAAGAATGCTATTCGGAACATTTAGTGGGCAATAAATCTTAACTTTACCCTAATTCCGCTTAGAAGCGACAAAGGAAAAATACGGAAGTATACAAGGTAAAACAAAGTTTTAACTGGTGATAACAGGACTATGAATTAATGGCTTCAAAGAACATATACTCTCACAGTTTACAAGAGACTGTTTTAAACTGGCAACAAGTTCAAATACAGATTTTGAAAAATAAAGGAAAAGTCATTAGCAAAAGAAAATAATTCTAAGGGAAACTATGACAGAGAATAAAGAGAGGAGGTGGAGGATAGCTAAGTAGGACATAAGTTCCAGGCAATACTCAAGTTACCTGGACTGTCATTGACATTCATCCTTATGTTCTCCAGTTCTTAGTCATCTAAATTCCACACGTTAGCTTTGCAGAGTGAATAGCTTTGCAAGACCTGGTTTCTTTCAAAAGGATATTTGATAGGGTAATGGCGTTTATTACAAAAACACATTTACTTAGACTGCTTCAGCCCAAGCAATAAGTGGAAATTTTCTAGCCCCAACATATGTGTTTATTGGTGAGTAAGAAATAGGTCCAAGAATGATTATGGATGAAAGAACATGACAAAGTTCAATCATTTGAGGCAGAAATAAAATCATAAATCTGAGCAATAACGTTTTCTCACTAACAACCAAGAGGTGCATTCTCCTCTTTACTTTGTGCTGTGTTTCCATTATTATGACGGGAATATGAACATATTGGAACACTTTCGAAGGAAACATTTGAAAGATTTTACTGTTGGTCTTTCATGTGTTGCATTTATTTGGTAAGAAAATTATTTGAAAAATAGACATGAAGAGAATGAAGTGTATTTCAATATTAAAATGGACAGGAAACTGGATAACAAAGTTTCTTTGTCTCCGTATAAAGTTGCTGACAATATTATTTATGGGATCAAAAAAAGTTAATGAAAACAATTTTTTTTTCAACAAAAAAGTTCAAAACCTAACCTGTGGGCAATAATTTTGCTAAATATTCTAAATTTGTAACAATTGTGCTGGGGGAGGTGACCAAAAATTACATAGAGTGGACTTTTAACTATTTGATGAAGTTGTATGTGATGTCAAAATGACATTTTTAAAGCCTATGGAAAGGATATGCTAGAGGCAGAATCATAACAGATTGGCTTTGATAATACTCAGCTTGGTTTCATGCTGAGATACATGAATATAAATGGCATGGATCGGGTCAATGTAAATTCATGGTGGTAGTAATGGAGGCTTTGAGAACGGGAATGAAGGTAGAAAGATTTCTCCAAAACTTAACCTTCTTTTTCTTCCATGCCCTGTTATTGATGGGGAAATTGTCAACCTATTGATTCATTTCATTGGTCACAAAATTTAAAAACAATTTCAATGGTGATAGGATAGGATATTTGTTCATTCATTAAATAGCCATTTTTTTTTATTGAGTTCCTATGTGTCACAACCTATGGTACTAAATATTAAGGGTAAAATGAACAATAACATGTTTGTTTTCCTTATATATAAAGTAGAGATTACAGTTTTTCTCTCTGTTTAACTCACAGAGTGGGTTTAGAATTTAAGAGAGATAATACAACAAATGTGATAACATACAATAATATGTAATAATATTGGTAGTAGAATCATGTTTTAGTAAGTACAATATTAGATTTAAAGAGTTTTGTCCTTACTAACATAAAAACATGTTTTGTTATAGAGTAGCACAGAGAATCAGAAAGTGGGAGTAATTGCTATTCCATAACAGAGAAAAACAGGACTAAAATTAAGAGAAAGCAACACTGGAATAAAGTTTCTCTCACTATTTTGTTTGGAGCCAACTCCATCCCTGTCAGTATGTGTCATTCCTGTGCAACATTTCTTGTCATTGAGTCTTAGCCCTCTGCTTCCCAAACTCCAGTCAGCCATGTACAACCTCACATATTTTTCCATATCCATTATAAGTTTTATTATATAGTACTATATAATATTTTCTTTAAATCAATGATTTGTTAAAAAGCAAACATTATGACTACATTTTAAAATGTAAACTTTATATCATTTCTTTAGACAGCAGTATCACTTTTAATAAAACTTAAACAAAATCCATATTTTATTCTAGGTAAGTGACATTGTCTAACCAATGTCCTGCATCTGGGGCCAGAAGGCTTTCTCTTTCTTTGATAAGAAGGATGATTATTTAGTGAGTGCTAAATAAATGTTACAGATAGACCAGCAACAAATTGAGAATTTCTCCTTGAGACAGAAGACTGGCGTAATATTGAAAAGGTATAAAAAAGACTACATTTCTTACTCAGTGATGCAGTATTATTCAATGGTGTCATCTATGCCTGCTCAAATATTTTGCAGAGGTCAACAACTAAGTATGTAAGTCTTAGTATAGTTGATCTGAATTGTATGACTTTAGATGCAATTATACCTTTTTATTCTTCATATTCCACTTCAATAGAATGGTCAGAAAACTTTACTACATAGTTTCAAAGCAACCTGTAAGAAGTTGTTATTTTTTTTCTACATGCTGAATTCCCAAACTATGTTTGTTCCACTACAGGTAAAATTGTAATCACTTACAAGATAGAATAACTGATATTTTAAAAGCTAAAGAATTTATTCAGAGTCAAGCTTGACATGTTCCCACTACAGATTCTGGGGGAGAAGGCAAACTTCTAAATATGCTAGCAATGTCTTACACAACACATGGTTAATTAATGGGCAGAAGAAAATGATCCTTAGGGACTTGCACTGCAGTTTCCTGACCAAAGATCATAGTCCCTTCATATAGATAAGAAACCTCAAGCCTCAAACCAATGAAACAGAACTTAGAGAATGGTCCTGTGGGACTTACCTCCTGTTAGCATGAGGGCACATTTGCACATACAGTTGTCATTATCCACATCTTTAGTGCTGAAATCAGCACCATGTAAGATCAGGCTGCTCTGTTTTCCTGCTGTCCCACTGTGACCCTTTAAATACAACCTGAGGGAAAAAAACAAAAAGATAAGCCACTCAACAGAATAACAGAACCCAGAAGACTGGTTTGTTGAATGTTTGCCTTATTGACCACGTTTTCCCCTTCTTTGAACTCAGTACTTTCAACAAACTCTATAAGACCCAAGCTCTCTGGAGGGAGGAAGAGAAGGAGAGGAGTTAAAAAAAAGATTCCAAATTACAGATAGGTAAAATTCCTCATAATGTGTGTGCTTGGTATCTATTTCACTACGCATATTCACACTTGCAGCTAAGTGTATGCATATGTCCTATTATTTTTTTTATTATTTTTTAAAGATTTATTTATTTATGCATACAAGAACTGGGGTAGAGGCCAGATGTGCAGGACCAGAGACAGAGTGGGGAACAGAACAGGCAGACCGACTGAAATACACTGCTGCGGGGAGCAGCGTGTGAAACAGGAGAGGTCTGCTGCGCAATGTGGGTAGCTCCCTGGATAGAAGGGGATCGAACTCATGCTTCAGAGGCTGCAGATAGCGTCACAGTGCTGTGCTTAGCCCCTTGCGCCACTAGGGAGGCGCCTGTCCTATTATTATTTTGTGAGATTTGAAATTACTTTCAGCAAATGACAGTACTGTTTTATGTTTATGCCAAAGCATTTTGCAAATATTATGTAGAGATTTTTGAGCCAGAGCAAAACCCAAGTTTTGTGGTTTCAATGATTAATAAAATTTGTAGTTAACAGTAGACTGATGGAAGTTTCTAATGCTGAATTATCACCTACAAGCCTATATTTTAAAATGCTGAGAAGCAGGCTGAAAATCACTGGTAATGTAATACTATAGAATTTTTAAAGTGGGGGTTCACACTTTAGGCTGCAGTAGCACATAGTGGTGGTGGGTGTCATCAGGGGAAAGTAAGGTACAAGGTGATCAGTGGGAATCCTGGGCATGTTATCTGGATTAATTCAGCTCCTTCTAAACCTGGTCTTAAGTTTTAATTTGCTCATTTTATTACCTCTAAGAGACAGACACAAACTAGAAAAATTAGATTTTTGTTAGGTCTCCATATTCATTGCCTAAATAGAAATATTATGGAGATTCAGTCTCATGGATTCCCTAGAGAGGAATTTCACATAGAAAATCAAATTATAATCAAAAAGTTACTTGTTCAGAGAACACGGAATCAGAGTCAGTAGACGAAAATGAGAAGATTTCAAAATTAAGAAGCTGTGATTATACTGGCCTGCATACCCTCAATCCACAGAGTAAATTGAGCTCACAGGTGCTCTGGGATAAGCAACGCTAAGGACAACTCTGATTCTTATCTTCTCTGTGATTTGTGATGACCTTCCTTCTTCTTTCTCAAGGTTTTCAATATCATTTTCCCTATAGTAGCTCTAAACTTACTAACCAGGCCATACTTTTGGGGATACAATGATTATCAACAATGTGTTTTCAACACAAATGTATGCATTGATATTAAATGAGTGACTGCTATGTGCCGGACAGTTTATACATTTATCCTTTCACATGAAAGTTATAGTTAAAGCCTCATAATTTAAACTACTTTTTTATGTTAAGGCAATAGGAATAATCATAAATTTGGGAAGTAGTAAAAAGCAAAAAGAAGAAACTAAAAATCAACCCAAATCTCAGCTCTGATATAGCTAATATAACTACTTTTTACATTATGGTTTATATGCATTAGTCTTTTCTTTGCATTTCCCCCTCTAAGCAGAAAATATTATTTATTATTAAGTACATATGCACTATCAGAACAAATTCTTATAAAAATTTCAAACAACATATGTAATGTTTTTGTCCACAGTCCCAGCTTATCTACCTCTCTGTAGGCAATCACTTACATCAGTTGTGTATACTTCAAAACAGCTTTTTATGTATGATTACGAATGCAAAATGAAATCATACTTTACATGCTTCTTTATAACATGCTTTTCATATGTCATTTTCTAACCATTTTTCCATGCCATTACTTATTTTAAAACATCATTTAGAAGCTACAGTATGACTACATCATCAACTGTCACAAGTTTGCAGGTGTCTTAATGTATCTCCAAATATGCATGCAAATGTATATGTTAGAATTATCATGAAGTCTACATTTTCCCTGATATTCACCTCTATTGTGCTTGGTAATGATGTGTGTTAGGGTCTGTGAATGAAAAGAGACACTTTTCCAGAGCCATTGAATCAAGATTTGGAGGTTGGTGTTCTAGTCCTGGCAGCTCTTCTCTGGATTCTTGCAGAAATCTTATAACTAATCTAGCTCTCTTGAGTCTTGCTACTTCCCCTATTCCCTATAATAATGCTCCATGTGGTTTATTAAAAATATACATAACATAAACCCAAATCTCTACCCTGTTTAAAATCCCTCAGTTGCTCTCCCAGGATATGAAGGATAAAATCCAAATTCCATACACTGTTTTACAAGGCCTTTGAAGATCTAGCCCTCACCTAATATTACCCCACTTCCAACCCCAACCTCTCATCTCTGGTTATTTCCTGCTCATACATGAAGTTCCAAACTTCCCTATCACATGTTCCCTCAAAGCAACCCACTCTTATTTCCATGTACATTTGTGTGTGCTTATCATTCTTCCTTGGAAAGCCCTTTCCAACTTTGAATAGCTGCTAAATTCCTGTTCACCCCATTGGATTCATTTCAAGTATAATTTCCAACAATATCAGATATATACATTTATGATGAGACTTTATTATGATAAATGTATTGGTTGATTTTTTGCTTGTCTTCTTCTATAATAAATTGTGAGCTCCTTGAGACAAACCATATTTTACTCACCTTTGAATCACCACAATCTAGAACAGTGTCTAAAACAGAGGAGAGGCTCAATGCTCACTAAATATTTGAGATGAATGATGGGTATGATTTAAAAGAAAGCCTATGTCTTAATTCTTATTATTATATTTTATTGAATGATTTATTTGTATTGTGTACACAGCCATTATGCAACTAATGTTAATTATGTTTCAATTTAAAACTAAAAATAGAAGAAACTCATATTTTGGGGAATAGTGACTTTTTCATTATAAAGTCAGAACATAACTTGTAATTTATATATAAAATCCATGTCCCTATGTCTAGATCCTTAGCATGTCATCCAGGAGCTGTTCATGTTCTTCTAAGAAAAGTCACCCCATTAGACAGTTATTCATCTGCACTGCAAAATAAAGATGGCATTTCATAAAAATAATTTTTCTCAACACTATTTTAGGAGATTTACAAAAGAGCACTTCCAGGCTTTTGAGGGATCCTGCAGCTGTGTAGTAAAAAATAAGTCCACTGCACAGGCAAGGGGCTCATTCTTTCATAGCAGCTATTGAGCTGGGACAGAATCGCAAATATTGACCCAAAGCCAAAAACTGTGATTCATTATTTGATACAGGCAAACAAAGGAGCGGTCATTCACTAGTGTCAAGCATTTTTTGTAATTAGATAAGAAAAGAAAACGTATTTGAATCGAGGGGTCAAACATTATATTTAATGTAGTTCTTTTTAAAAGTGGTTCTGGCTAATTTTTAAAGTCCTTATGTATAATTAACTAGCTTTTTAATGCTAAATGGAACTTTACCTCACAAAAGAAAAGTCAATATACACAGGACCATAGTTGATTTTCATTGGACTATGGTGAAAGGCAACTGGTAGTGTGAATCATTAGAGAGAATATTTCGCCCCAAATAATACCATGTGAATCCTGGACATTTACATCTTGTGTTTGGCCAGTGTAAACATGACTTGCATGAAGTGTATAATGTTTTAGGAGATAAAACCACACAGTACTCCAAAGCAAAATATTAGGTTTTAGGGACAGAAATATTGAAAATTTAAAAAAAAAAACAAAAACAAAAATAAAAACCAACCCAGAAAAACAAAAATACAAAAACTAAACAAACAAAAGAACCCTCCAAAGTATATAATTACACGTGATCAAAAAGGTAGCCACGGAATAGAATTGTGGTATTCATCCTTTCAAACCCATTTTGTAATTAAGGGGGGAAATTATGTAAAATTTGGTCAATGACTATAAAGATTGTCAGCATTCGAGTTTTTCCAATTAGCAGGTTAAAGGAAAATGAAACAGATATACATTGAAATGGTCATGATTCTTACCCATCCTTGAAGAAAATATAGCTATCCATTTTCTTTCATTTCTAGGAATTTCAATAATTAGAAAGACTTGAGCATATTTTTAGTGAATTTAGGGCAATAGTAAGATCTATTATTGAAGAAAAGGATTCAAAAACACTTATACATCACACAATTGAGTTGATAACTCTCATTTCTGATTTTTTCCCAACAGGAAAAAAAAAAACACACACACTAAAATGAAGTTCAATAATGATACATACACCTCCTGTACACAGGGGAGAAGTCTACTAATATGCATAACTCAGCAAAATGGCTTCAGTCAACTTCTTTACTTTTAAAATGAGCACCCCAATCTCATGCATCCAGTTTCTCACTCTTTTGTCTACTTAAGAGACTGCCATATTTCTCACATTTTTACATCTTCACTGTATTCAGGGGGGCAAGATCGCCTTCATTATTCAAGGCAGTGGGAGTTGTATGTATGACAAATTGAAGTTTGGCCTAGACTCTTTTAAACAGTAGACAGACTCTCAGATATCTGAACTTTAAGGTCTTATGTACTGACAATCTGAGCAGATTTTATTTTGGCTCTGAGCTCTTTCCCTGCCACCATATGGAACTAGTTTGTCTATCTCAAAATCACTTGAAGAAAATGCAAAATGACCCCCATGGTTCTCTTTCAGGACTTGGTAGCAATGACTCAATCTGACAGAATTTTACAACACTGCTCTATCTCCTGGTTGCTGCTTCAGGGCTGTCTGCTTGAACTGTCTTCCCTCACCCTGCCCCCACCCCACTGAAAGAGCTTGGAGCCATGAGCAATGTACTGAGTTTAAATGATACAAGTGGCATCTTCTGCTGAAAATAAAGGCAGTATTACTCTTATTAATCCAGAT